GATTTTCAACTTTTTTTTATCTCATGGCACACTTGAACCTATAGTTATACTCTGCAGCACACTTAGATTATGTTGATCAAAAACAAAAGTAAAAGAAGAATATACTTTGCTTTGAACTTCTTTCAAAAATAATTTAATTAGTAATCTTTAAAAATTTTCACAGCACAGCTGCTAGAAATCCCTACCTAGTGAGTGTGCCTGTAACTGAGCGTGTGCAGGAGACACCCAGGGTGCCTGCTAACCTGTGGGGCTTTTCCCTCCCTCAGAGAAGCCCAGAGCAAGGCTGTGTGGAGCTGGGTGACCTGGACACTGGCCTCACTACCCTTTCAAGTCAATAGAGTTGAATATTTTCTTGAAACAATGCATAGTTTCTCTGTTTGTATCTGTTTCTAATGCATCTGTATTAGCAAAGCATAGTCATCATGTGGATAGAGGTAAATATTTCCAATGAGACATTTTCATAAATTAAGCAAACATCAAAACTGTTCTAAAGTTTGCTTGGAAGAAAATGACTCAGGAATTCACATACACAGAGCAAGAGTGGAAATGTTCCCTGACAGTAAACACACCGCTTAGCTGTGAGAACAGAGAACGTGGGGTGTTGGCCCAGGAGCGGCACATCTGTGGAACCCATGAGGAAGGAGCTGAAAAGCACACATGTGTCCACACGTGTGTGATTCTGACATGTGGTGAGCAGTGACCTCCCACATTAGGCAGAGGAAGGGCTTGGGCAACAAGTGTGCCTGGGTGACCTGGTCAGCCATGGTGGGAGGAAGGGGTCAGTGTGTCTTCTCCTTCTCCTGTCCTCCAGAATAGGGTTATAGATGAAAGAATAATACACCAAGTCAGAAGGGGAGTCAGGATACCTAACAATAAAGCTTTTCCAGTGTTCTTGATAGAGGGTGAAGGTAATTTGCAAGCTTAAAATAATGAAGTCAAAGGAAAAGGTTGATTCCATTGAATTAAACTTCTAAGAATCAAAAATAGAGGGCGCCCAGGCTCAGTGATTAGGGCGCTGGCCACATGCTCAGGGCCTGGCCCTGCTAAACAAACAAACAAACAAATAAACAAACAAAAAATACTGGGGCGTTGTGGCGGGTGCCTACAGTCCCAGCTAGAGAATCATTTAAGCCCAAGAGCTTGAGGTTGCTGTGAGCTGTGATGACATGGCACTGTACCCATAGGGATGAAGTGAGAGTCTGTCTCAAAAAAGATGAATAAAAAATAGAATTAAATGTAAAGACAAGAGGGGAAGAACATTGCTGCAAGTATGATTGGACTTGGTTTTCTGCACGTGAAGAGCTTGTTGTGACCGAGTCAGGAAGGAAAGCAGTGATTTCCGCGAGTGCACCCTCCCCACCCCCCAGGTAGGGCCACCTGGGGCTTGCACTGTGAACACACCTGCGTAGTGATCACGGGGTTCTTAGCACATTCCACCAGTGAGAGTCCAGGTAACTGGTCCCAAAAGCTTACACAGTGGGGCCTGGGGCTGTGATCCATTCTTGAACTTTTCTTATTGCAAAGCCCTCAATTTCTAGCCAACTGTGAAAGGATAGTCCAAAAGAAGAAATACTAGGCTAATATGCCTATGAAAAAATACTCAACCTTAGTATAAAGACTTGTGCAGGGTGAGGCTACCACTTACCTCTGGAATTGGTGAGAAAAAAATTCCAGAAAAATAAACACAGCCCTGGCGGGCTTGGGTGTTATGAAACAGGCAGTTGCCTCGACTCCGGGCGGGAGGGTAAGTGTGTGAGGAAGAGTTTGACAGTACGTATCTGGAGTCTTAAAAAAATGCTCCTGACCTGTGGCCTAGTCCTCTACTTCTTGGGATCCTAAGCAAATAATCAGAAATAGGAACAAAGTTTTATGCCCAAAGGTGTTTATTTGATTGTTATTTATGTTATCCAAAAGTTGCAAACAACTGAGAAGTGTCTACTAGGTAGTTTAGAAAATGAAAAAAAATGATGTTTACAAGGTTCTTATCAGTTGTGGGGGGAAGAAGCAAGACACAGAGTTGTTTACACAACCCGATTTCGGCAGAGTCTAGCTGTGTGTGATAAAGGTGCAAAGACCAGGAGAGCGCTGCTGCTGTAGGACTGGGGCTGGTTTTTCTTTCATAGCTACTCTGGGTTAGATATTTGTGCAACAAAAGTTTTGCATGGACTGTTTTACGATTCAGAAAAGAGGAAAAGGTATATGTTTCAGATGGCAAAGGTCAGAGAGAGGGAAAGGCTGGCTGCGGAATGGTGGAGACCAGGGGCAGAGACCCGACGAGGAGACTGCTGCGTGTAGGGTGGGCATTCTGCCTTCTCAACTCGCCTGGAGAGCCCTGCTCTCCTCAGTGCCTCCCAGACCCTGTGTCGTCCCAATGGTCCCGGGCATGTTCCACAGCTCGTATGCTTGTTTGCAGGATACTGGTTAAGTAAATTACACTATAGCTCCTCATGGGGTGGGCCAGAGTGCTGGTAGAGGTCACGTTTGTTGTCATGGAAAATTTTATTGATCAACTGATTGATTTTGGAGGCAGAGTCTTACTCTGTTGCCTCAGGCTAGCATGTGTGGGGTCAGCCTAGTTCACAGCAACCTCAAACTCCTGGATTCAAGGGATCCTCTTGTCTCAGCTTCCCTAGTAGCTGAGACTACAGGTGCCCACCACAACACCCAGCTCATTTTTCTGTTTTTGGTTGAGATGGGGTCTTGTTCAGGCTCTCTCAAACTCCTGATCTCAAGGTATCCTCCCAACTCAGCCTCCCAGAGTGCAGGAGCCACTGTGCCTGACACTGACATGGAAAAATTTTTAAAACAGTCTCAAACTCAAAAGACAATTAAGGTACAATGTGTGGAATATGATTATGACCCACTATTTTATGAGGATCGTTTGTAACCCCTGTGTAATTCAGATAGCACATACATGGTCTCCATCTCAATAATTCAAACCCAAATGTGGCATATATGCACATAGTGAGGTTTTTTTTTTTTTTTTCTGAAACAACGTACACAAAACTGATAGGGCAACTCCTGGGTTTGAGAGTAGACAGAGGTTCTTTTAAATTTTGTTCTTAATATTGTGTTTTTAGCATCCACATTTTCATAATTTGCAAGTTTTACATCTGTGATTAAAAAAAGAAAAGAAAAGCTGTTTCTTTCGAAGGGGAAAAAGAAAAAGAGAAGCCAGGGAAAAGTCTCCAGTTTCTTAGGGCTTTGTTTTGTTTTGTTTTATATTGTTTTCTCCAGATTTTCTGGAGGAAGGTGTGAGCACGCTCGGCCTCCCTGGGGAACAAGTGTTCTTCTAAGTGGTGGATGTGGGTGAGCCGGTCCTTCTAGACGCTCTCCCCAGGCTCCCCTCTGCCTCCCCCACTGTGAGTGGCCTCTGGAGCACGGCGTTGACCAGACCTAAACCTGTGTGCTGGCAGGTCAGTGTGCACGCAGCAGAGGCGAGGTCGCTTCCATCCCATTCCATACACTAACTAGCAAGGAGGGCTCAGGGCGGAGATTGCTTCTCTGGCTTGGGGAAGTCCATGTGCTGCTTTTGAGTTTCCTGGGCTGCGTGGGCTCTGCTGGCATTCGAGTCCCAGGACAGCTGCGGACCCACTGGGGTGCAGGTGGCCTTGAGAGTTCTCACCTGGCCTTGCCTCAGCAGCCTCCCCTGGAAGCGGGATCCTGCCTGGCAATGTGAGCCGTGTGCATGTTGGCTGGCGCTGGCGCTTTGCATGTGGGTGTTTCACGTGCCCAAGTCCTCGGTTTGGTGGTTGCTTTTGCACGAATGGGAGCTGTGAATCGGAACGAGGTTGTTGAAGTCAGCTCCTATCATTGTTACAAGATTTACATTAATAGTGGACGAGCAGATCTTGTACTTTTGGCAGGGTGCACAACTTTGTGATTCTGAGGTGCTTTATAAAGATTTCAAAGATTCCATGAATCTATAAGAGAAAATTGATATCTCTCTATCCCAGGTTAATCACTGCTAAAATTTTTATTTTTTAGAGACAGGGTTTTGCTCTGTCTCCTAGGCCAGGGTGTAAGGGCACAATCATAGTTCACTACAGCCTCAAATTCCTGGGCTCCACATGGTCCTTCTGCCTCACCCTCCTGAGTAGCTGGGACTACAGATACATGCTTCCCCACCTATTTAATATTTTTCATTTTTTTAGAGGTAGGGTCTTACTTGATTGTCTAGGCCTCAACTGCTTGATCTCCTGCCTCATCTTACAGGCATGAGCCACTGTACCCAGCTCACTGCTGATATTTTTTGGTAAGCATATAAATATTAAAAGGCACATTTTAATTTATCTTTTATTGACTTACGTTCCCATGAAGATGTTTTTCTAGTATTGTGGGCTTGGGATCATAATACAATAGAGCCTTCATAGCTGACCACATCTCTACACTGACACCTCCTTAAGTTGACCTAATTTTCTTAGACTGGACATGCACCACATGTGTGTATTAGCACAGTAGCACTAGTTCCTTAGGCTGACCTCCTCATGTGTTGACCAGTTTGTTACAGTTCCCTGGGTGATCAACTTATACAGGTTCTGCTGTATTGCTTTTTAAGTTTTATCTTAAAGTTTTTCCTTACACTGATGTCTAAAAATTGCCACCAAATTCCTGCTTATGCTTTGTGGAGGAAATCATTTCACTCTCTGGATGTTTCTGTCCCAGGTAACAGAAGGCCCAATGCTTGATTACTGTAGTTATATAAAATGCATGTGCTCTGTGGAATGTTAATTATTTATATTCATTGCCTAAATTGAGCAGTTGACAGTGCTCCTTTTTGAATTGCTTGCTATTCAGGGAAAGCTAACTGGGTTGCACCTTTTCATAATTGGCTTCCCTTATGCAGCATATTCCCAACATCTCTCATTGGACACTCAAAAAGTAAATAAATGGAAAGCAAATAAGCGATTGAGGAAGAAAGGAAATGCTGGAGATGCTGGAGGTTGAAAAGCATGAAATGCTTCCTTTGAACTCACAGCTTTCTTTGGTGACCCTTTTAGGACAAAGTGGAGCAGATACCTCACAGTCAGCAGGACCTGGGAAGGCCTGAGTTTCCAGCACAGTCGGAGCGACTCCCCAGGCACCAAGGTAAGGGGCAGCAGAGCACGGGGCAGGCGTCCCTAACCACAGCTTTGCCGTAGGGCGGGACCTTGCATTCTGAGGAGTTGTTTGGTAGTAAAAGAGTAACATTCTGACATTGGCACTTCTTTTTCTCTTAAGGAAAACTAATTTTAAAATAGAGAAAGATATTAATACCTGGTTCTGATTTCATGTGTTTCCTTTCAATTAATGGACTTCCATGAACAAAACTTTAAGATCTGTTTCACATGAGTTATCTAAGATTTCACTCAAAGGTGGCTTGATGTTGTATGTTGAAGTTTACCCCGGGTGGAATCTTCTTGATTTTAGCATTTTAATGTTTTCTATTAAGACGTTTTACACTTGATATTTCTCTGCCTTTTGGTGGGGTCACCCTGGAAAAGAAAGGAAAGGACTAAGTGGACCCAGCGAGGGGTACTTGTAAATCAGATCTGATAGATGGAGACTGACGCAGAAGGAGATGAGAGGGCCCTGGCAAAAGGCACATGGCTCATTGCCTGGATCCTGGGAGAGTTAAGTACAAGACGTTGTAGGGTTTGGAGCTGGTGGGAGTTAGAATAATCTGTTATTTAAAAATCAATGAAAAAGAAGGTGACATTGAGTAAAAATAAAAGCTGGGATCTGACCATGAGGCCACAGAGATGTTTTCTCTAGTATTAGGAGATTCAGAAAAGCAGTCAGGATTTTTTGTGATGTATGTGACTTTGGGGCCCTCTTCTAAAGAACTTTCAACCAATGTGACCCAGGGGAAAGTGTACCAATTTCTTGGTATTGGCTTTGAAAATTGAGCCAATTTTAACTTGTTATGTTGTGTGGCTAACACGTGGCCTCATTTACGTAGAAGTAGTAAGTCTTGGTATTCATGTTCATGTAATATCTATGTTAATGTTTTGATCAGAAAATTAGGGAAAAAATACACTGAAAGCACTTTCTCAAGATCTTATCTTATCCTTCGTCTTTAAATTGTGTATTCAAATTTCCCATACATATCAACCCCAACCAGGTAGCACCATGAGGGGAATTCACAGCACAGAATGTAGAAAAGAGCCATCTCTCTTTCCTGGGCCAGAGGTGCAAATCAGCAGGTTGGAGCCAGGCTGTATCCCAGCACCTGAAATAGGGCTTAAAGGAACGAACAGCCGGATGTCTGTAGTGAGCCTGGCTTCTGGTCAGTGACCCAGGGAGGTCATGATTTTAAGTACTCGTGTGACATTATCCACCTCTCAGTCTTCACGCATACCATGTAAGACAGGACTCAGCCTGGCCTGAGCCCAGGCACTTGCACAGAGCAGTGAGCTGTGCCATCCCTGTGGGTGGGTGGGTTCTAAAGTGGACGCCATGGCTGCCAACTCAGGTCCCAAGGCAAGGTGAGAGCTGAGGCAGCCCTCTTCCACCAGTGATGAGGGAACAGAGCAAGCCTGCTACATAAAGGTGGGAGTTGGACTGGCACTACCCTGCTCTTGGAAGGTTCTAGTAAAAGGCTATTACCTGGGAGGAACTGCAGGGCAGAGCTGGCACAGCCTTGCAGGTGGAGGAGCCAAGGTGAGCAGCCTCACAGCCACCCTACACTGCCCCAACCAGATTGTTTGAAGGGAAGGAGTAGGCAAGAAAGATAGTGGGGAAAAAAGACAACCCACCTAAAGAGAGTCTGCAGACCAGCATTCTGAAGCACGAAACAATCCCAGACTAAGAAATACAGTACGGCAGACAGAATCAACAGGTGACCAGTCCAGCTGGATGCAACCAAGAGAAGTCTGACAAGGCTTTGAAATGTGTTTGTGATGCTCAGACACCTGAGGGAATAATGTCTATAAAACAAAGCAAGAAAGTACAAAACCCAAACAAGAAGAAATGAAGCAAGAACAGGCAGGTATGAAGAGGTGTTCATTAGAAATTTTGGCAATAGATATAGTTATGACATTTTTAAAAGGCGCTGAATTCCACCTAAGGAGGAGTTAGAGAGGGAGGCTGATCCACGGGGAGTCAGCTCTCCGGAGCACAGAGCCAGTGACATTTGTGGACGTGCAGTGTGCAGTTAGATTGGTCGTCAGCCTGCGGGAGAGGAGTGGAGGAGAGAGGGAGACACCGAGAATTGGCCAGTGCTGGAGGAAGGTATAGTCCCCAAACTCCACTCAAACATCTAAACACCCTTTATGCTGTTCCAGAAACAGATTTCCTTACACAGGAGCAACTGTCGGACTGGCACAGACTTGGGCAGGTGCCAGGAGACAGCATCGTGTCCTTTCTAAGGGCTGAGGAAGGAAGAACTGTCCATGAAGAATTTTATAGCAACATATTGCTGACCAGTGAAGTTATAGTAAAGCTTTTTCAGACAAAGATTGAAAAAAAAGTGTCACCAGCATTCCCCACTAAGGGAATGCCTAAAAGTAGTCCTTTAGGAAGAAGGAGTGTGAAGACTGAGGGAGCATGGCTGCAGAGGCACGCACACAGGGTCATGAGTGTAAATCCCTGTGAAACTCCAGGTACTGAGATGCTGGGAATGTGTGTTTTTCTTTTAGGAATGGGGGTTGCTTGGTGAGTGGTCCTTAGTGAGAAGTATGGCCTTAGTGAGAAGTAAAATGTAGGATAACTCAAGATGACATTAGGGAAAAAGTACACTTAATCATGTTGTTTTAAAACATTGACTTTAATTACTAAAAGAATGTGCATCTAATCTATAGTTTCTAACCTAGCAGAAAATGATACTAGAGAATATATATTAGAACAATAACAATTAGACAACATCAAGTAGAAAAGGAATTAAAAATAAGATGTAAACAAGGAAAGCGTGTCAAACAAAATGCAAAATAAGATAGTAGGTGTAATTCTAAGTATATTCCTAACAGTATTAGCAGGCTTGAATTAATAGGTAGACAGAGGACCCTCCACCCAACAGAGACACTTGATTCTTCCTAAAAACTATGTAACTTTTTGGAAAGTTGACCGTATATGGGAAGTTGCACTCAATTTTAAGCAATCTGTTTCAACGCAAGCCACATACTTTGACCCAGTGTGAATAAATCAGATGTCAGCATAAAAAAGGCCAAAACAAAACACATAAACATGTGTGTGGAAATTTTAAAACATGCCCTTATTTTACTTGTGAGTTAGAGAGGAAATTGCAGTGGGAATATCAGTCATTTAGAACTGAATGAAAATGATCATTACTACGTGTTGGAAGTTGTACAATGCTGTGAAAGTGGTGTGTAAGGCTAAATTTCTAAGCTTTAAAAAGAAGAGAAATTGAAATTAGAAAAATGAAAATTGAGTAGGTCTAAGCATATAGAAGGAATTAATTATAAAAAAATCAGAAATTACTGAAATAAAGTATGACTAGATGGGACCAAGTTAAAAGCTAATCTTTTGTAAAAAGTACCATAACAGCAAATCCGTATAGCACAGACACTCAGGAGGAAAAAAGATATATAAGAAAACCACATTACGAACATACTAGAGAGTTTAAAAAAACAAAAACATGAAAATCTGAGGGAAATGGATGACTTACTCCAAAATTATAAAAGCAGAATTGACTCCTGAAGAAAGACAAAATCTAAATAGAGAAATAATTCTGGCAGAAATGAGGTAGGTGATCAGCACAACCCCTCAAAATATTCAAGGCTTTTGCAGCTGAGTGTTATGAAACTTTTAAGGAACAAATAGTTTCTCTCTTTAAAGGCTAACTGCTTAAAACATATAGAGGACAAGCGCTCAGAACCCTTCCACTCATGTAATGTCTGTGTAGCTTTGAAACAGGTGGGAGAAGAAATCAAAATTATAGGCCCATTTCACATATTAACATAAAAACGTCAGAGTAAAACACTAATGCATCAAACTCAGCAGTTTATTTTAATTGAAATATAAGAGCATAAATGTAATGACCAAGTTGGATGTATTACAATAATGCAAGGACGGTTTGTTGTCTTAAGACTATCAACACATTCAGTGTGTCCAAAAATTAAAGGGAAAAAATGGTTATCAAACAGAAAAAGAATATCTAATACAATTATCCACTCATTATAATACATGACAAACAATAAAACTCTTACCAAACCAATATTGAAAAGACACCTCCTTAACTTGTTAGAGTTTGTCAAAAACCCAGTGCATGCGTCATACGTAATAGAGAAGTACTGGAGTCATTTCCATGAAAGTGTGATATCGGACAAGGGTGCTTGTTGTCAATGAAGCTCTTAGCCGGTATAATAAAAGAAGTAAACAGAGAAACAAAAATGTAAACATCAGAAAGGAGGAAGTGAAGTCTGTATCTGCTTGCCAATAACATGATTATCCAAATAGAAAATTCACTCAGATACACAGTTAAAATTTTAAAATAAGTAAGTCTACAATAAAGCAGATAGGAAGTGAGATCAACATATGTTGTAATAGAATTACCAAGAGAAAAAAAGGAGGAAGGTAATGCAGAGAGGAATCCATTATAACACAATTTATAAGGTGTCTAGGATAAATTCAAAAAGATTAGCCGAAATTATAGATGTTGTTAAAGAGCATAAAAACAACCTGAGTAAGTGGAGAGCTATATTATGATCATGGATCAGAAGGTGGAATTCAGTGAGGATATCACATTTTCCCAGGCTAGTCATTGAATTTACTGCAGGTGCACCCAAATTCCTATCAGACTTGTTGTGTGACTTGACAAGTGGTTCCTGACTTGAACAAGGAAGAGCAGAACTCCATTAATGGTAGCCAAGACAAATTTGGAGAACAGAGTGTGTGGAGAAGTGATTTGCACTATCAGATAGCAAGCCTTTTTATGAGGTATGACAATTAAGAAAGGCCGCTGTTTGTTCAGGGGCACACAGACCAAAGGAGCAGGGTAAACACCCTGTCAAGAGGCCTGCACATTATGCAGCTAAATACAGCACAGAGAAGTCAGGGGGAGCAGGGCCCAGGACTCGGTGCTGTTCGCATGGGGTGAGGGAGCCGGTGAAAGGGGCTCTGCCCACACTACACACAATCATCAATTTCAG